TAATGTACATTTTGTTATCTGCAACTCCAAAAATAAGACTTTGAGAGGCACAAATGTCAAGTATTGACCTAAAGGTTCAATTTTGGACTCCAACAGTTTTTTCCACCCCAATTCTGCCAGCCTCACAAATTTAACAGGACTGGACATCAGAAGAGATTATAGCATTACCCAAAACAACCTTATACAAATAATATTCTACATTTATTTATTTATTGCAATGATTGATATGAACTACAGTAGTCCCCAGGTTAAGAACGCCCAGTTTAAGGATGACCCATAGTTCAGAATGGAGTCTACTGTAGCAAAATTTGAGTTAAATGCACAATGATTCAAGTTAAATGCACAATGATTCGAGTTAAATATACAATGGTTTAAGTTCATTACACAATACTACTCATACAGTATTATAAAATAATACTGTTCTGGCTTACATACAAATTCATCTTAAGGACAGACCTTGGGAATGGAACCCGTTCTTAAACTGGGGACCACCTGTAATGCATCCCATCTTTGACCCTCATACAGAATATAAAGGAAGTTAATTAGAACAGCATTTCTTTTGTTAACTTTGCCCAATGATTGACAGGAATTACCTTCCAGGTTGGCATACAAACTTGCCCCTTGAAATTTAGCCGAACCTATAAAGCTGCATCCTACTATTGAAGGTAAAGGTGGTGGCAACATTGCACAGCCGACTGATCTTGATCTCCTGCTGAAAACTGCAGACAATCCAGAGTGAAAGAGAGTACAGGAAAAACTCTTGCAATAGGACTGTAATAACACAAGATTAATGTTTCCTTCCCTTTGTGTCCTTCTATTCCTCTGTGAGCTCTGGATGGTCTAGATCAGTATTTCTCAACCCTGGCAACGTTAAAGTTTGTGGACTTCAACTCGCAGACTTCCCCAGCCAGGTGAAGTCCACACATCTTACAGTAGCCAGGGTTGAGAAACGCTAGTCTAGATCCCAGCAGATGCAGAGCAAGTGAGATGGCAAGTCTGAGGCTAGACTACAGAAAAGCTCCCCAAGAACTATTGACAGCCTGGATTATCTACCTTACTTCTTAGAATGGCTAGAAACCGGAAGATTGTGAGTTCTAGTCCTGCCTAAGGCACAAAGCCAGCTGGGTGAGCTTGGGCCAGTAATTCTCTCTTAGCTCTGGGAAGGAGGCAATGGCAAACTAATTCTGAAACCTTCCCAAGAAAACTGCAAGGACTTGTCCAGGCAGTCGCCAGGAGTCAATACTGACTCAAGGGCACTCTCTCTCTCTCTCTCTCTCTCTCACTCTCACACACACACACACACACACACGCACAAACACTCCTTAGAATGATCCCAGTCTGTAGCTCTCAAAATCTGGGCACATGGGAAATGTCAGCTGCATTTGCATGCATTATGTGGCTTCATTCACAGTGCAACATTGCCTAATTCTTGTACCACCCACTAATCATTAAATGTGACCCTGAGCCACTAAAAGGCTGCCCTTTGTGCCCAAAGAAGGATGGTAACTTTCTTGGGAGAGATTTGCAGCTGCCTACAAGGAGAAGTCCAAAAGATGCCTGGAAATGGTTACCTCCCTGAAGTTAAGGGGATGGTCTAACATAGAAGTAATTACTGTATTCATTTTTATAATAATACAATCAATAATTCCCACTAAAGTATTGAAAACCAAAGGGCCTGACAGCTCAGGAAGGAGGTAGAAAACCAGCAATCCAGCTAAGTCACTGCAAGAACATGAAGGAATGTGCTATGTTGGTACAGATGACACCTGGCAAGCAACAAGAGTGCATCCCAGCCACTCGCTTTGCCAACTGCTGGACAGCTAAAGTCCAGGGAGCGATGGGCTTTTCAACTGAACCTCCACCAGGCAAGACTCCAGATTTCCACGAGAATCTCAGCTGCAAATCAGACCCCCTTTTGATTCAAAGGCCACTCAGGGCCTGGGACTGATCCACCCTCTTTTGCTCATCACTCACCCGGAAGTGAAAGGGGGACGTCTCGGTGGAGGAGAGGTCCTTGAACCGGCTTGCCCAGCTCCGTGTTCACACCCACGTAGGCTGTCTGGGAACACACCACCCCCGAGTTCAGGCTTATCTCTAGTGCCAGGTGCCGCTTTTCTTCCACCTTCTCCTTGGCCTCCTCTAATTCCTGCAACACTGCCTGAGCTGCAAGACGGTGAACAGGGAGCCTGCACAGAAGGAGGTGGGAAGAGCGGAGAAAGGGCTGCCATCACACCACACACCTAATCTGAATTTATTGTCAGTTCCTTTTATATCATGGCTTTCTGCCCAGAGGGTCAGCTAACAGTAGAGAAGACATAAACAGTTAATAGTGACTAAATGCTTGTTTTGGATTTTAACTCATGGAAGCTGAAAAGTCTGGGCTAAAAAGACCTTTCCTTCTTGTCTCCTTCCATGAAAAGAGAGAAAGCCCAGGCTGAATGTATCCCTGGGGGAGCACCTTCCGTAGCCTAGAAGTAACATGAAAGAACATACGTGGCTTGTTTTGCACTGGCTTGCTCTGTTGTGCTTTAGTCAACCAATGTCAAATGAACAATGTCCTTGTGCTGAAAACTGCCAGAACAATTATGAAC